TGCCTATAGCTGTATGTGACTAAGGTATTTGGCTGCATTCATTATTTTGGGAGAACTTAAGCCAGGCTTAGGAAGGACATGAATGGGTCACGGCTTTTGTCCTTGTCCTCCACCCAGCAGGTGAAGAGCCGGGTTTGTTTCCATTCCCAGTGCAGCGCGAAGCAGGTTGCTGCTCAGTGTTCGCATTGCCGGAGCATTTAAGATGTTTTTTCCAGAGCCGCCTTGCAAATGGCTTGTCCTCTGCAGGAGCGCACGGCACAGGGGAGGACGGCCGTGTTCGTCACCACCTCGTAACCTTTCTCAAAGGCAGAGGAGATGCTTTCAGCCAGGCCTCGGCTATGCTTCAGGAGCAGGGATGTTGTGGCTCTTGCTGGGAAGCAGGGATCAGCATCAGCAGTGACGGGCAGGGAGGGATTGAACTGTTAAATGGTCCCACTGGCTTCTGGCTGGGGCTGATGGCAATTAAACCAACAATACCTGTCACATCCACAGCGCGTGGCGTAAATGCCAGGCTCATCATTGAAGGTTGTATCTGTATGTTGCATCCTGTCATTATAAACCCTGCTAGCTTACAACGACCTTATTTCATTGTACACCCTCGTAGCTTACAGCAACCTTATTTCATTGTACATCCTGGTAGCTTACAGCAACGTTATTTCCAACAGTGCTGAGCTCAAAGCGTGGCTACAGATCCCAAGTCATGTTTAACTTGCCTGTGTCTGTTGGGAGCGTGCCCCATCAGTACGTGTTTGGTGGCATTGCCAACCTTCCCTTACCCACCAGCTGAGTGCTGCGTACGGTGCGTCACTTGTGCCACCGGCACTGTCCCCAGGCTGGGCAGGTTAGCCCCGGCCGCAGCCCTCTCGCTGTGGCTGACGGCACAAGAGCCATATCCTTCTCGGTCCCCAGGCAGGTGGGTCGGTTTGGGGTGTTAATTCAAACAAAACTGTTTTGGGCATAAGGAAGACGGGAAGAGGAGTACAGCCTGCGCCACCCCAGCATCGCATTTGGAGCAAGGGCTGCAATTGTAAGTGGCTTTAAGCTGTGATAAACTGAAGCTGGAGCTTTAAATATATAACATTTTGACTCCAGAAACACAGGATTAAAGTCTTCCTCAACACTGTTCATGTCCTTGAATTGCCTCCGGCGTTTCCTGGGCTGAGTGGAGGTGAGCCTGGGCTCCTGGCTTTGAAAACTACAAGGCTGAGGTTGGGCGATAGGCGGGAGGTCTCTGGCACACCAATCAAACAGTTTAGGTGTGGATTTGGTAGGTGCCTATGTGTCTTATTGCAGGTGTTATGAATTAATTAGGTTGGTTGGTTTGTCTCTGCTTCTGCCTTTTGAAGGTGTAGTGAGATTAACTTCCATCCCTCTGGGATAACCTGAGGAAAAGTCTTGTGGTGAATTTGTTCCAGGGTCGTGGAGGCAAAGGGATTCTTCTGCAGACCAGTGGCTGGTTCTTACTGGAGATTAAAACTGTCAAACTTGCGTGATGAACGTTTTTAACCTTTCTTTCATTTACTAGGGCCCATTCAAATTTATTCCTTATTAGCAGTTTATATGTTAAAAAAACTGTCTTCTGCAAGATCTTCTTGCAGTTGAACAGTCACCAGTGGTTAAAGTAGGCACATGCCCTGCAGTGCCTTCAGCGACGGGCTGGCTGTGACACTGGTCAGTTTGGGGTTCCACTCAGAATCTGATCTACACAATTTTGGTTTATTTTTATGGTTTTACTCTAGCAACCATTACAGCAATGTAGATAACCTCTGCAGGGCAGGCAGAGAGAACAAATGTCGTATGCGGGTAGACGTATGAAAACATCTAATTTACCAGCAGGCAGTTGGGTAATGATCAGTTGAGAATTGCAAATTATGTACGTCATATTTGTGGCACGGTGCTGAAGAGAAGCCCAGTGCATATGACAAATCATATATATAGTGAAATTTATAATACTTTTCACATTTAATTGACTGGGGCAACCTTATGATTTATATCTTTGCTTTATTCATAGCACACCCATAACATAGCCATAATGCAGAACAAAACTAATTCAATTTCTCTTTGACTTTGTAAATCATTTATATATTTGGCTGTCAAGTATTTGAATATAAAGTGGGCATGCATACGGCAGAAAATAAATAGCTGATTCTCTAGTTAAGAAATTGAGTTTTAATGATATTAGGGTCTGTGTTGCCGTACTTGAACGTTTAGTCTTGCTTAGATAGCATGCCTTACATTTGTCCCTTGCCTTATTTCACAAGGAAAGCATATTTTATGGGCACAGCATTACTCTCTTAATGGCCCTATATAGCGTTATGACCGTGTAAAACGTAGTCAGCATGCTTTGCCGGCAGCAGGAGCCCTTCCCAGGCTCCGGAGCAGTAAGTGGCTGAGCCGTTGGGCTGCTCCTCTTAGTCACAAGAGGTCTGCTTGAACGTGCCGGGAGGACACGCAGGGACTGCAGGCAGGGGCTGCCTCATTAGTACCGTTCTGTAGATAACAAGAAGAAAATGTTATGTTGGCTACAACAGACTGTGATTGCTTTCCCAAAGATCAGGTTTTGCCATGGAGCTATCCTGCAGAATCATTGAAAATACAGCCTGGAGAGATTTTTTTGTTTCCTTTAAATACCGGGTTACCTGGCTTGGCATCGCTAATTAATCTTGGGAAGAACAGCCCTCGAAACCAATGCCTTAGCCATTCGACCACAACCAGGGAGGCTGCCTGGGCTGTTTGTGCCTCCTAAGAAAAATAATCTTCTGCAGTCAGATCTTTCCTTGACATGGTTTTTGACACCTGTAGCGTCACTGGAAAACATCTGCAAAATCAAGATAGCGCAGAAAGTTTGAGGCAGTTTGCTGGCTCATTATCATACCGCAAAAACAGCTCTCCTCCACAGCAGCATCCTTGATTTCTAAATTTAGCGTGTGAGTTATTTTGGGTAGTGTGTGATTAACCTCAATTACTGTAGCTCGGATGGAATTCAAATAATGCCCCCTCCTTCAGAGTTGCAAAGAAATGGAAATCTGGGTGTGTACATTTCCTACCCTTAATGAAGCAGCTCTGAGAGATGCTTGCACATCCACGGAGGTCACTTGTGTGATGCATTTGTTCACGGAGAAATTAATGGGGGCAGCTGATCCCGAAAGGTGCTGGTGGTCCATGGCTCTGTATTGGGTTTAGGGTCAGGAATACAAAGATGAAGGCAGCAGGTTATGGGGTACAGCTGGTGTGAATGAAACCCAGGTGGCCACAGCAGAGATCTCTGAAGCTTCAGTGGAGTTGTGTCACGGTCAGGGTGCTTCGTAGTTTTCCTGCTTGAATTAAATCAGTAACGGAGGCTTTCAAAAACTAATCAAAAATATGCTTTCCCTCAATCTCAGCCGAGTGTTGGCTTTTTGGAAAATCCTTGGTGGTGAAGCAATATGCGAATACACGCCTGCACACGTGCAGACCTGCGTGAGCGTGCGTGAGAGAGGGGAGATGCAGGATGCGCAGGCGGGCGACCTGGAAGATGCCATGGGAAGTGGTGGGGCTGGGGGAAAGCGGCGTGTTTCAGCGTGTTTCGGCCCAGTCAGGGAGCGCTGACGGACAAGCTTGTCGTTCGTCAGGCTGAGAATCAAAACTTTTTGTCGTCCCTGTAGCTGTAACTTTCCAGACTGCACTGCACCAGCCGAGCCTTTCTTTTGTCAAGCAGTTTGTCTCCAGAGGAGGATAAAACCCAGAGAGGTGGTTAGCGCAACCCCAGTCCAGCAAACAAAGCTCATTTATGTGTAGCCGTGGGAGAGCTGACCTATGGCGGCTCGTGGCAATTGCATTTTCTGGTAGCCAGAAGGGGCCGATACTTTGCAAACAAAGGCAGCATTTGGATGGAGGAGCCAGCTGTCCTGTCTGAAGTCACAGTTGCTCAAGGAGGTGAACTAAAACTGTGAGGTTTTGCCCCAGGCCAGGCTTGGGTTTGTGCCTCGTGGGTAGAGCAGCACCGTGACCACCCCACTGCCGCACGTTTCTAGCCGTGTGCTGTGGCCAAAATGACCCCAAAGGAGCCTGAAGAGTGATTAGAGTCTGGAAAGCAGCTATAAAATTGCCACCTCATTACAGCAGCTATCGACTTCTTCAGGGGCTGGTTTGATTTTGTGCTTTTTTTGTTGTTCTGTAATATACGTCTGTGTATTCCCACTAAAAATAACAGATCTGCCCCGAGTCCTACCAATGGGAAATTGCTCGCAGCAGTCGCCGTGCCTCTTCCACGTGTGCTGTAATTGCATGCTTAACTGGCAGAAACAACATTTCACCCTCAGAAGACATTTCAGGGCCAGGCAGATGCCAAACACTGAACTGCAGGGCTGTGGGCAGTGTGTTGAGAGAAAAAAAAAAAAAAAAAAAAAGAAAAGAAAAAATCTCTGCTGAAGGCTGCAGGAAAACCAATTGCACGAATTGAGCGGTAGCGCAGGGATGCAGCAATATGGGAGAAAAGGGAAAGAAAATAAGCAAATGCTACAGCTGTGCCTTTCTGCTGTGCTGTCTTCTGTCTTTTTCTGGGTGGCAAGCAGGGGCAGGGGGTGTTTGGTGTGGTCATCTGGAGCTGCCGTGTCTCCTGCCCCACCACGGGGGAGCTATGGCTTCCCAAGCACCAGCGAAGTGATAGCCTTCTGGGGGGCACCCCGCTCTTGTGGGGTTCAGATCGTCATCGTCAAGGCTTGCTGCTAGCCTGGCTCACGGGGCAAAGTGGGTGTAAGACCTCGGGGTGAGGATGCTCAGCCCCACAAGGCAGCTGGGCAGGCATCGAAACAGGGTCTGTGCTGTTCCCTGGTCGTGTCTGTCTTGGGATGGTGAACATTGTGGGGAGCTCTGTCCCAGAGCGGGGCCCGTCCCCACTCCCTTTGTGCTATACTTAACTGATAATGTAATACAGATGGTCAGCCTGAAGAACTGAGCTGCTTGTAAAGGTGCTGCATTGGTTAATTTTTCACCTTGATGTGCTTTTTGTTTTTACACAGCTGGACAACCCAGATGAGCAAGCAGCACAGATCAGACGTGAGTTAGATGGACGTCTTCAAATGGCAGAGCAAATTGCCAAGGTAAAGAAACAAAAAGTCTTCTGTATTAACAAGCTCTTCACATAGAAGTACATAAGTAGTTTGATGTAGCCCCCAGGTCCTGTCCTTCCCTCACAGGTTTCTTCTCCCAATCAAAAAAATAAGCAGATTTCTAACTACAAGCAAAACAACAAGTACAGATGAAGCTGTTGTGATGCGCCTTTCTTGGAACGTCCTGCTGAGCTGGTTCAGTTTAGGTTCCTGCAAAATTCCTTATGAATCCTCAGCAGTGGGGAAGAAATTGTCCTGAAGTGCTCCAGTTAGATCTGCAAGTGTACATCTGAGCCCTCTTTGGCAAACTTACACATTAGGCAATGAAGTGGGTGATGGCATGTAAAAAGGAGCCAGGAATTGCCCTGATGGGGTTTGTGCCATTCGCTGGGCTGCTGGGAGCCACAGTTCCCTGCCCGTGGGTAGATGCTGACCCAGTAAAGGTACTTCAGATGTGCTGTCCCAAGCACGTTCACACTTTGCACAGCAGACAGGCTATCATTGCACCGTGGGGACATCACTGCTGTCTGGAGCAGCAGACACAGGACCCCAGAACAATTCTCATACCTAAGCACTCAGCTAAACTCCCCAGAGACCCTCCTGTAGCAGACATCTCCCCAGGAGCAAATCACACCCTCACACAGTGCAGATGTACGTGGCCTCCGATGGACCGTAGATGGAGAGAAACCCTGAATCCTGTTGACATCAGTATGGCCAAGATTTTATCCTTGCCTCTAATCAGATGCTCTGAGTCTCCGATAAAGCCCTAATGGGGCTGAAGTCATTGGGAATGATCTGTCCGGCTGTTCTTGATAATCAAGAAACCATTACTAGAAGGAAAAGAAAAAGGTCTAATCAGAGAGACTTAGCTCGGGTTAGGGACCTGCCTTTCAGCAGCAGTCCTCCTGGCACTGAGCCGTGCCAAATGGTGGGGTTTTAATCAGAAAGGTAATACCAGAGCTGTTTGTGACCGCGCTGAGGTTGCTGGGTGTGAAAAGTAGAGCGCGTTCGTTTATGGTCAGGCATTAGCAAGGATGCCGGTAGCGCCTGCGCAGTTACTCCTCACTAACGCTTCTGTTAAACAGCTACAGACATTGCGTCTTTGGGGAGGCAGGTTCTGTTTTTCCCCACTTCACTGACAAAAATAGTAAGGTGGCCAAGGACCACGTGGCCAAACGGTGGCGCACCAAAGCAGCAAACCCACTGCAGCTCCTTTGTTCAGCCATTAATCCTTTGCCATTTTATTGTCAAGAAAACGTACAGTATTTTTTTTACCTGTGGCAAAACGTAAGCCCCAGCGCGGAGTGCTGCTGCTGCTGCGGGGCTGAGATGGGTAGCCGGGCACTGGGTGCCAGAACGAGATCGCCTGGTTTCGTTGTTTCATTTTCTCTTTATGGCATGTGGGACAACAGTGTGCATGGCTCAGTAGCAGCTGGCAGAGGCTGCAGCTTCATGAATTATTTTTTACAAACGAGAATTTGCCATTACCATTCCTCCCCCAAGGATGCTGAAAACGAACCGTGCCACTGCCGGCCCTGCAAGAGGCAGGCAGGGGAAAGTCCTCAACACAACCTGACATTTCCCTGTGCAGAATTCAACTTTCAAAATACAGCTGTGCAGCTTGGAGGGTGGTTTAGAGTAAAAGTGCCTTACCTGTGATCCAGCTGGCACGTATTGATATTTAATCTCCTTCACATTACTGCTGCAGGCCTTCTCTCCAGAATGTCAGATTCCACCAGCACCTGCCTACGAGAAACTGTTGTTCTTTCAGACTCATGAATGCCATCTTTTGGAGGCATCCAAATGACCTTTTGAATCCTTCTCTGTACCCTCCTTTCCATCCAACGCTATTTTCCCTCTAGCATAGGGCGGGTTCACAATTCAGCTCAATGAAAGGGTAGCATTTCCAATTTTATCTCCAATTTGCAGCTTTTATAGCAGATTTGCTGCCCAGGGAAATTTATTGTGCTCGGGAAACCAGCCCTGAGGTGGCCGTCTTGGAGATTCTGTGCTGAAGGCGAATTAACACCTCGTTAATAGATTAAGAAATTCATACTAGGACATTTGTACTTCAGAGGCAACGAAGGCTGTGGAGTCTAACGGGACCTGGGATCGCGGTGTTGCAGAACTGGTAGCTCTGCCAGCCCTCGTCTGACCTGTCGTGTGACACCAAACAAGTCACCATGCACGCCAGCTTTCCTCAGGGACCAGTTCCTGCATCTGGAAACCAGGGCACAGCTCTGGGTCTTTTTACCCCCTCGTGCGCGCAGGAGAGCGCAGCTCAGCACAGCGCCGGGGCAGCATTAGGCAGAGCCCCACACTGAGCCCGACTCCATCGAAGCCCGTCAGCCCGGCCTTGGAACCGGCCAGCTTGAGGATCAGGCTCAAAGTCAAGCAGATGTTTTAAAGCTGAGCCTGGACAGGCTTTTCACTCTGCGTGTTGTACTTTTCCAGCAGCTAAATGAGAGCAGCGTTACAGCTGAGAGCTTAGGGATGCCAAGGCAGAGGTATATTTTCCTCTGCAGTATCAAGTGCTCTGCTGTCCTGTGGTGCCGTTCCCCCCACGCAGTCACCCGGCCTCAAGGGCAAGGAGGAGCACGCGTAGGGGCAACTAACCGAGACCTTGTGGTGACACCAGAGCAATATGTCCATCTGGGGCTGGACCCTCTCTGCTTCAGCCTGCCGGACTGGTCATTCCTTGCAGTCTCTTAGCTCTGCTTCTCTTCACACTTGTCCCCATTTCTGGTCCTCTCCCTGCTCCAAGTACATGGGAAGGTGACTAGCATCTTTTTTTGCTGTTGGCTGCATCCCTTGATTGTGTCTTCCTCTAGACTTCCCCCAGCTCTGTCTCCAGTCCGATGGGTAACTTGGGACCGCATCTGCAGCTCTGTACTCCCATCACCAGACCCAGTCCCAGTTAAATTGTTACGCATCACTTCAAACTCCCTGGTTTTAGCCTCAGGATGAGAAGTTGCTGGTGGCACACAGTGCAATGTCTCAGTCCTTGCTGCATTTCTGAAGAGGTTTGTGGGAGCAGTGCCAAAATTGCAGTCTCTGGAGAGACGGATAGCAGGAGGGTGAAAAAGCCATAATGTTTGAACATCATTGCTTCAGCAGTAGTTCTAAAAATCTACAAAATAGTTGAATTATTTTTTTTTTGCTAGGGGTGGCTTGCAACATATAATGCATAGACAATAAGTCAGACTGATTAGGTAGTTTATCTTATGCCAGGTCTAATTTACACGAGGGAATTGCTTCCCAAGATTGAGACTGGAAACAGAAGACTGTATTTTAACTGCTCGGTACGAGTGTTGCTGTGAGCCTGTAATGGGCAAGCTATTGAGCACTGGTGCCAAAAGTCGTGCGGTGGAGTACTTTTTCAGCAGCCTGGTGACAGTCTTGTAGAAGAAACATGACCATGTTTTCTTTTCGAGCATACATTTCATGAATTGCTTTTTACAATATTATGAATTGCCACTAAGATACTTTGCACGTCAGCCTCAAGTTCGCGGGCTGCAGATGCTGCCTTGCTGTCGTGCGCCCTGCGCAGTCTCTTGTAACCCCCTGAGAGATGTTCAAACCCTGAGCAGATTCAAGGTGTGGGCAGAGTTGTCAGAAGAAATAGGGCTCCCACCAGTGATCCGAGCACAGCTGGAGCATGGGCAGTAGTTCACAGCTGAGAACACACATTGGGGAACAACTCGTTTTGGTCTCACTGTCACCTTTGGTTTTAATGTTTAAACGTCCTGTTTACAAGAAGCAGCACTGGAGGGTCTCACAGTGAAAGCTTTTCTTGTTGGAGGGAGACAGGGGCCCTGGCAAGTCGTGGAAAGGGTGTTTTACTGCTTCTTCCAGTGGGGACCACAAATTGTTGCCCACACATTGCTGATTTTCCCTCCTCGGGCTCCCTTCACACCTAGAAAACTAACGGAGCAACTGCTCAGAGTGTTTTAAAAAGAGCTGGCACATTTGGGAGACTGGAAAACAAGTCCCTAACTGTCAGCATCCTTTGAATCATTAGTAAATTGCTGTCAATCACAAAGTTCAGCTGAGATCTGGCCTAGAGTGTTTGTAATTGTGAATACATATATATGAAGAAGGCCGTTCGCAGATAGAAAAATGAATGAAATGCCAGTGCATGCAAGAAACAGTAAAGTTGGCTAAGTACCAAGTAGTAATTCTATGGGAAACTAACAATAACGTTTCTACATTACACAGGGGGAAACTGTAATTTGTCATCTGGTTTGTGGGAGTTCCCTGCTCACAAACCTCTCTGCAGATGCTCCTGGGGGATTCTCCCAGTGCAACAAGTGGTTGCTGATTGTCACCGCAATTCATTCTGTTGTTTTTGTTTCCAAACCCAAGGAGCGCAAGTTTCCGAAGTTCGTGTCCAAAGAAATGGAAAACATGTACATTGAGGAGCTGAAGTCGTCTGTCAATCTCCTGATGGCAAACTTAGAGAGCATGCCTGTGTCTAAAGGAGGCTCCGAGTTCAAGCTGCAGAAGCTGAAACGCAGTCACAACACCTCAATAATTGACATGGGAGAAGAAAATGAGAACCAGCTTTCCAAGTCAGACGTCGTGTTGTCATTCTCCCTGGAGGTAAGCTTCAGGCACATGACAGTGTGCAGAGTTTGTGGGAAGAAAAATCACAGCAGCCGACTTCTGCTCAGTTCAAACTTAAGTTAAGCGGAGACTGTTCAGTAAAAATCACTTTCGGATCTCCGTGAGGAATGGCTCCTCTCTGAGTTACCAGAAGTTTTGCCTGTGGTCAAACACTGTGTCCTTTCTGGTATCTCACCGTCTTGCTGGAACAAACTGTGAGATAAAGCATCTGGCACTTCCTCCTGATCTATATCAAATGGCCCAGAAATCTGTATTGTTAACTGACCTCTTCATGTGGCTTGTTACTGAGTGTACCCCAGTAACCCTGAGCCTGTATTGTCCCTGAAACCAGTACAACAATGCAAAACAGTAAATTTCAGAGCGTTTAATTATTGCCAGTTAGGGGTGTCGCTGTATTTCCCTGCAAGCCTTGCTTCCTCTTTGGAGAGTTGTTAAAAATTGCTGGGGTTTGAATGCACCCAACAGATCGGCTTGCAGCTTGTGTGGAAATACTGTGCTTTCCTGGCTTGCTCTTTGCTTTGTGCTGAGCGCTGATTTTCTGGTCAGTGCTCCGTCAAGCAGGTTGTCTGTACCGCCCGGGGGAAGGCAGGGTGCTGGAGGGACCATTACCTCCGACACGGGCTGTCTCGGTCCTGGAAGCAGTGTTGCTGCAGTAGCTGTTTTCAGCCGACTTAATCGTTCTGTGCAAACACATTTAGGCAAGGGGTATCCTTGGATGCTCCAAGGAGTCATCAGCACACCCATACAGAATTGTTGTTGTCTGCCAATGAGTGGGTTTATGTTACATTGTCAAAATGTAACAGGACGGGGTCAAAAATGTAGGATGCAGAAAAAACAGCAAATTCTATTTTTGTGTAGTTTCCTGTTTATTTCTCTTCCTAAGGGGTCGCTTGTTATATATATCACACCAATGCAAAACTTAATGACACTGGTTGTCCCGTGTCAGAGTGTAACTCATTAGAGGTCTGAAACCATCTTTATAACATTCAGTTCAGTCTTATTTAAAAATAGGGCTGTGAACCCGGACACGGTGCCTTCAACAGCAGCATCAAATAAAACCTGACTTCTAAGCGTTCCCATGCAGAGGCTCAGGGAACAAAGCAGTAGACCTCTCTGTTGGAAGAGCCTGTGCAGTGTGTATAGCCGTGCAGAAAGGGACTCGCCCTTACAACGGGATGTCTCAAAGGCTTTGCTCCAGCTGAACCCTATCTGGGGGGAAGCAGAAGCTCAGTGAAGCACTGACTTCAAGAGCTGGCAGGTCTGTGCACGAAACTCTTGCTGCAAGAGAGCCTTTACTGAACATGTGCGCTCATCAGAGGGTCTGTGGAGCTCTGTGTGCCAGGGAAGGGATCCTCAGTGCAAGAACAGATCAGAAGACCTGAGGAGAGGAATTTTAAACCCCTGGGTATATACTTCATAGGTAGCTGTAATAAAACATGAACAGAAACTCCCACAGTGTTTCCTGTAGAAATGTTTAAGATATGTGGTTAACAGGATTAATCACCTTTTAAAAAAAAAAGGTAATTACTTGCAAGAAACTTAGATGGTGATTTCTTAGTAAGAAGAATGGAGAAAGGCTTTTTATCAGGGCATGTAGTGACAGGACAAGGGACAATGGTTTTAAACAGAAAGAGGTTAGATTTAGATTGAATATAAGGAAGAAATTTTTTATGATGAGGGTGGTGAGACACAGGAACAGGTTGCCCATAGAAGTTGTGGATGCCCCATCCCTGGAAGTGCTTACGGTCAGGCTGGATGGGGCTCTGAGCAACCTGATCTAGTGAAAGATGTCCCTGCCCGCAGCAGGGGGGTTGGACTATCTGATCTTCAAAGGTCAAACCCAAACCATTCTATGATTAATCTTGAAAATAGGCGTTTGGCGCAAGCTGAGTAGCTGTGTGCTTTTTTTCTGGATTTCGTATATGAAGGCACTTTTAGGTGGGGCAGGAACACGTCTGTGAGGCCCATCTCCCGAAGCTTGGTACAGCCCTGGGCACCTGAGGGTTTCAACAAGCCCATGTACAGTCAGAGGGAGACCTCCTGATCTCCATACAGACCGCTGGCTGCCGCAGTCCCTGCTCAGCATGGGCATGTGCCGCTATCCCTACCCACCTGCCACCATGAACATCCAGCAGCTTGTGGAGGACCCCAACACTGGCTCACCCTGCAGGTTAAGCAGCCACAGCGAGGTCTGAAGGAGTCAGCTCCTTTTACACTCCTCTTTCTTTGCCCCACAGGTTGTCATCATGGAAGTACAGGGTCTGAAGTCGCTGGCCCCCAACCGTATTGTATACTGCACCATGGAAGTCGAAGGTGGGGAGAAACTGCAGACTGACCAGGCTGAAGCCTCAAAGCCAACGTAAGTCTTGTTTTGCCTTTTGCTCTCTCCACCATGCTCTCCTCTGCTCCGTCTCTGCATTGCTGAGTCGCTGCGGATAGCTCCTGCGTGGTGACACCAGAGGGGACGCTGAGAAGCAGAGGAGAAACGTGGCCTTCCACGTACGCAGAGCATCGTCTTGTGACTAAGAATGGCACATAAGCCCTGATTGAGGAAAAAAAGTGTTAATGACAGGCTTACGTCTCTTGTAGCCATAGAGACATAAATTTGTGCCTATACGTAAGTACTTTGCTAAATAGGGATGGAGTTAAGCATGTGCTTAGATAAATACTTGTCTGAGTGTCCATCTGAACTGGTGCCATCAGGTGTAGGTACATAATCTCGTCCTCACTGTCAGGGTTTCGGCAATCCTACGAGAAAGGGCAACAGCTGGCGGGGACGTGCTCCGGCACAGCCAGAGGTGGGAGAGACGAGCTGGGGAAAGCTTCAAGTCACACAGTTAAAGCTTTTTCTGACGCCACTCTGCCCTGGTCCATTTCAAGGACAGAATCTTGTTCAGTCCTCTTTGACCTGGTCCCCAAATCCCCAGCCTTGGCCCCATACTTGGCTTTTTTGTCTTATCCAGATGTTGTTATAAGCCTGCTAGTAGTGATTGATCTTTGTTAATTTGGAAGGAGAAAATGATGAATAGCTTATTTCCTTTCCAATTTGTGGGATTTGTTGAGTTGAAACACTCTCTATATGGGTTTGAGGCAGTTTTCCTCTGGTTCTCTGCAGAAATTTCACACTACAATGAAATTCTTGGGGTGCATCCCCACAGTGGAGAATTACCGAGGTGAAATGAAGCCTTCTCCAGTGGTGGGGAGCAGGAGGGGCTGCTGTTGGGATTTTCCCTCTCTATTCCCATATCCCATTCTCTCTGAGTGACTGTGGCGTTTCACCGTAGCGTTTCACCAGGACCTTCCCAAGGTCATGGAAGGAAAGGCAAAAACACCCGGCTGCATTACGTGTGAGTGCACAAGTTCAAGACCAGCTGATGCAGGCAGGAGGAGAGGAGAGCAGAGCCGAAGGCAGGCTGCCTTCCCTCTGTGGTTGTCCTCCCGCGGAGGCACAGAAACTGCTGATGCCTTGTACCCTGCGCTGTACTGGAAGAGCAGGAATCTGCAGTAAGCGGTTTAAAAACAATATTCCCAATCAGGGAAAGTGCTGCAGCCTGGCTTACTTTTCAAATCGCTTCAAATCTGCTTCAGAGAAGGAAGTAGGAGAGCTGTGCTTGGAAGAAAATTTCCATAATAACCTGCAGTTGTCACTATTTTAGGCATTAATATTGCTTCAGTGGAGAAAGTTGAGCTCTATTTAGGGGAAATTACTGCTGCCCATACTGAAAAGCACACTTCTGCCGGGTTACGTGTGCTTGTTTAGCTTGGTCTGTTCATCCCACTTCTGCTCAAAGGGTCTGTCCTTCCTTACGCAAGCCTTCTTGCTGTCAGCCCTAGAACCATTTATACAAGTGTTGTTTTGAAAATAAGGGCTGCAGGAGTGAGCTCTTTAATTGAGTAGGTCTTTTTATCATAATGAAATGTACAGTGTCTGGGCATGAAGCCATCAGCCCTCAGGAAAATGCAGCCAACGCTGAATGCTGCGGCTTGATACGAGTTATGCAAGTCCATCACACTCATCCTCTCTCTGCACTGGCTTCCCGTAGAGGTGCGAGTGAGGCTTGAAGTCTTCGGGGTTGCTCCAGCACTTGGGGTAATACCTATGGAAATGCCTTAGGAGAGGAGTAGGTTTGACAGTTGCGTTCCTTGAGGGTTCTGGGACTTTTTACTTCCAAAGCCAAAGACCTCCCAAGCCGAGGCTCTAAAATAACCAGGCACAGAAACCAGAGACCGTCACAGCAAGCTTGTCCTTTCTTCCTCTCTGCATTAGAAGTGCTTCTTTCACTTTGCTTCCCCTCCCAGCCACAACAACCCAGACACGGAAAACCAAAGCCCCGTGAAAGCAATTTACTGCACTTAGATTCTCCTCTTCAGAAGAGAAGGAAAGAGAGAATGAACCAGATGTGACGTGTTTGTCATGTTGCTTAATACAAGACTTGAAAGCCCGCAGGTACTCCGGTGATAAGGGCAGCGATAGAAGCAGCTCAGAGAAGTCTTTGGTGCGTTTTTGAGTTATGCTGCCTTGCAGACAGAAGATTTATGGTCAGCCAAAACAGCCTTCCGGAGAGTCTCTTTACATGCGGACGTCACTCTCACCAAGGTCATTCGCATCGTGTTTCCTTGTGTACTTTTTATCCTAAGCAAAACACTCACTGATAAAGGAACTAGATGAGCGAAAGCATGCTGGAGTGCTCTCCAGGGGAACTTGCTCCCCAGGCCTCCCAGGTTTGGTGTGCTTTGGCAGGGATGCTGCCTGGCCTGGGGGCGAGGAGCACGCTGCAGAGATTTTGAACCTCAGCACTATGAAAGTGTAAATATTGAAGCAGGTTACCCTGGTGCATCCCAAAACTTTTATATCTCAGAGGCTCAAGGCATAGAAAAGCAGGTTAAGTGCCTGTACTCAGAAGATGCGGTGAATGCAGTTCTGGAAACAGGCAGTATTTTCTCAGATTAAACTGTAAGTCTTCAAACTGTGTGAAATGCAGTTTTGCCATCGTCTGGAGGCTCTACAGGCTGCAAAAAAACTAGATTTCTCATAAACATGAGGGAACAAAAAAAGTTACATTTGAACAGCAAGATTCACTGGAAGACTTCCCTTTTTTACGACAGCCCTGTGTCCTGGGGAGGTGGAAAGGAGGGTGTCACAAGGCTACACAGCCTTGTAGGACATCTTTTTACCTAAGAATGACTCATGGAGTTATTCTCACATGTCCTTGAAATCCCAGCCCTCAGCTAAAACACCCAAGTAAGTCAGAGCACACCGGTGGCAGCGGCTGCTCTTCAGCCCGGCACCGTGCCAGGGCTGCTAACGCGGGGTCCACAACTCTGATGCAAAAAGGCAATTTCCCAGCCAGGGAAGGACTCCCAAAAGCACTGGTCTAGGTCTGTGAGAGATTCGCCTTTCATCTTCCCCAGTGCAAAACCAGCAGGTTTGGAGAATAAGATGTTTGAAAGCATCTTAGTGACTTTGGAGCTTGAATCTTGCTTGTGGATGTTGAAAGAGGCAGGGTAGCAGCAGGCGTCCCGAGCAAGCAGGTGAGTCGTGTGCGAGGAGTGTGGCTCTTGGGACGGCAGTAAGTACTGGTCTTGTATTTCTTCTCGGGCTCAGTGTTGGATTCCTGACATTTTAAGCCCAATCCCTTCATGTGAGGATTATCTGCCTCAGCGCAGGTAGAGGGGATGGCACAGTTCTAGAGAAAGCCAGACCTGAAATAGCAAGGGTTATTTCAGATCAGGCTTGCGGTGTATTATTAGCAGTGCTTTTAATAAGTTGTGTAAGAAAAAGCCTTTGTATTATGCCCTAACCCTCAGGTGCCTCTACAAAACATCCCAAATCCCAATGTGAGCGGGGTTTTACCGCTTTTTACGCTGGAACTGTATTCTTGCAGTTCGTTGAGGAGTTTATATCGCCCCTCTCTTCCCTGCGCGTTGGCCTGATGTCTGCCCTCTGCAGAGGGGGGGGGGTGAGGGGGCTCTGCACATCTCCGACACGGCCCTTCCAGGGACTGCATTGGGAATGCCGCTGTTTGCACGGCCCGAGAACAGGGTTGCCGAGAGGTCTGGGAATAGCAGAAGAGGTCCAGCCACAACACCCCTGTCCTGCAGTCCTTAAAGAGGCTTCTGGATATATTCCAGTAGTGACCTGTGCTCGTAGCAGTGCTTGTGGGCTGGACCAGTGATTCATCTTATCATATCGCCTTTCTCTGACATGAGCAGAGCAAAAGAAAACAGAGAGACCCAAACAACAGCAAGGTCCTACGTGCCTGGTGAATAAGTGCTGTGTATTCACCTGGACATATTTCAGCATGCAGATGAGTCTCGTTCTCCCCTGGCTCATGGTAGTGAAAATCAGGTGTAGCTGCATTGAGCTCAGCTGAACCATTTGGGTTAAAAGCAGTAACTAACTGGTGGGGGAAGAATCTGGCCAACCTGTCTGCACATTTTGGCATGCCCGAGAAGGGATGGAGGGGTGGGCGGCTCCTTTGACTCTAGAAGTGGCTTCGTTTTGAAGTTATATATCCGCCCTCGCAGAGCAGCCTCTTCAGTCCTAGTGCAAGGGTTGTGCAGTAGTTTGGAGTATGAGAAGTGAGGATGGAGCTTGTTGTTTTTGAAGGACAAAAGATCACTCTTTATTGCCTGATTTATTTCCCATGTAGTTTTCTTAAGCATATGCTGTAAGGCAGTGCTGGAGAGAGGACATTCTGACGGGTCTTATCTGACTCCGTGTTGCTTCTTACGTTGTTTGTTGTGACCAAGAGCTTGGGCCTCGTGCCCTCTCCAGAAATTCACTCTTGTTAAAGTAATGTCTTTAGCAAACTTTTAAACCCCTCCATCTCCATTCACTTAGGCGCCGCATGAGGAGACAGGGGTGCCCTGTTTTATCTTTGTGCTCGCTCCTGATGCTGCTCCCTGATTTGCTTTCAAGGTGCTCTGACAGCTCAGCTGCTTATCTGTGCTGCGGCAGGCTGCCCTCCTTCGGATCCCTACACCAAACCTCCGAGCTTATCGCTCGACAAGGGTCTTCATCTCAAATTAGTGTGCCGCATCCAGCAGAGCCTGCTGCCTGGCCATGAAGAGGGATGGGAACTCTACAGCATCCTTCCTCGGCGCCGTTCGGTGACGGTCTCCTTCTGGGAGATGGGCGCTGAGCAGCCAAGGGAGAAGCTCTGCGGGAAGGGAGGCTGGCGAGCAGGGCTGCCCTCTCTTTGCAGAAGGGGAAAAATCTGGTCTTTTCATTGAGGAATCCCCTGCCTCAGGCCCTGCAGTTTGAAGTGATGCTCGGTGGCTTTGCACAGAGTAGGAGCGTGCTAAGAGCATTTTGTTGCAGTCCGTGTTTTGCTGCCACGGTTAGTTGGGAGATGC